TCTCTTTTGCTGACCCTCCTTCTTTCCAAGTATGACGTTCCTCTCCAGATAATAGCCTCACCTAGCAATGTGTCCAAAGTATGAAAGACGAAGCTTCATCATCATTGCCTCCAAGGAGCATTAAATCTGCACCTTCTCCAAAACATATCTGTTTGTTCTTTTGCCAGTCCAAAGGCATTTAACTGTGTGGTTCACAACAAATTCTGGCTACCCTTAAGAGGAACAAAAATTCCAGAACACTTAATTGTACTTACGCAAAATCTATACTCAGACTGTGAAGCAGTAGTCAGAACAGAGCAAGGAAACACTGCATGGTTCAATATCATGAAAGGAGTGCATCAAGGATGCATCCTTTCTCCACTTTTGGGATGCTGGGCTTTGTGAGGATGAATGTGGCATTAGGATTGGAGAAAGACTCATTAACATCCTGCATTATGCAGATGACACAACTTCATTTACTGAAACTGAGAAGGGACTGAAGCATTTCCTGCAGAAAGTCAAGGACTGTAGTCTTCAATATGGATTGAAACTCAACATTAAGAAGACAAAGATTGTCATCATTGGGTCAATTTGTGGCACCCTGGTAGATGGAGAAGAAATTGAGGTTATTAATAATTTCACCTTGTTCAGCTCCACAATCAACACTCTTGGGACCGGCAGTCAGGAAATCAAAAGATTAATTGCACTGGGAAAATTTGATCTCAGGGACCTCTCCAGACTACTGAGAAGCAACAATGTCAGTCTAGAGACTAAGGTGCACCTGATACAAGCCATGGTCTTCACAATTACTTGCTATGAATCAGAGTTAGACATGATCAAAGATCACAGAAGAATTAATGCCTTTGAGTTTTGGTGCTGGAGAAGGGTCTTGAACATATCTTGGACTTCCACGAAAACAAATAGGTCTGTCTTGGAGAGGGCAAAGGCAAGATGTTCCTTGGAGGCAAGGATTTTGAGGCTCCATCTCACATCCTGGGGGCATGTTGCAAGAAAGGACCATTCCTTGGAGAAGGATTTCATGCTTGGAAGGGTGGAGGGACAGAGACAGAGAGAAAGACCCCAGATAAGATGGATTGACACAGTAAGTAAGGGAATGAGGTAGGTGTGTTAGAGACAGTGAAATTCCCCAGGAGAGAGCAGGGCTCAGAGCTATTGTGTATAGGGTTACTGTGAGTTGCAGGTGACTGGACTGCACATAAACACCAACTCTTCTCCAGAACCACAACTCAAAGGCATCAAATTTCCTCCTGTCATCCTTATTTGTTACCCAGCTCTCAAAGTCATAACAAGTGATTGAAAAGTCTGTAGCCTAGATAGGGGGCACTTTGTTGTTGTTGTTGACTGCCTTCTAGTTGAGCACAACTCCTAGAGACCCTATGAACAAAAGGCCTGAAGCCCCTCTACAACTATCAACATTTATCAAAGTTCATAGGGTTTCCAGAGGCATGTTGTTTAGGAAGCAGATGCTACTCCTGCTTATGCAAACCTGTCATATTGTTATGTGCCATTGAGTCACCTGTGATGCATAGTGACCCTATGTACAGCAGCTCTGAATCCTTCCCTGTGCTGAGCCAGTCTCACTAATTCTGGCACACCAACCCCTATTACCCCAGATACTGTATCAATCCATTTCATCCGTGGTCTTCCCCTCCTGTACTGTCTGTCCAGTCTTCTCAGCATGATGTCCTTTTTCAAGGACTGATCTCTTCTGGTCACGTGCCAAAAGCAAGTGAGGCAGGGCTTCAAAATCCTGGCCTCCAAATAGAGACTTGGTTTCACCCTTTCCAAGACAGACCTATTTGTTTTCTTGGCAGTCTATGGTATGTTCAAGACTCTTTTTCAGCACCACAACTTGAAGGAATCTATTCTTCTTTTGTCATCCTTACTCATTGTCCAACTCTCTGAAGCATAACAAGTAATTGAGAAGACCATGGACTAGTTTAAGCAGACCTTTGTATCTAGACTGGTATCATTGCTCTTCAGCACTCTGGAGAGGTCCATGACAGCAGATTTTCCCCAATGCAATTCATCTTTTGATTTTCTGACTGCTGGTATTAAGAGTGCTGATTGAGGATCCGAACAAGCTGTAATTGCTAACAACTTCAGTCTCTTCCCATCTATTATCATACTGCCAATTGGCATTGTCAATGATTTCATCATAGATACACAATCAGCACCATTAATACCAGTAATCAAGAAACCAAAAGATAACTCCATTGAGAAAGTCTATTGACAGGGACCTGTAGTGAGAATCTTTGTCTTCTTGATGTTCAACTTCAATCCATATTGAAGACTACAGTCCTTGACCTTCTGCAGCAAGCGCTTCAGGTCTTCTTCAGTTTCAGCAAGCAAGTTGTGTCATCTGCATATCATTGGTTGTTAACGAGTCTTCCTCCAATCTTGATGTCACACTCCTCCTCATAAAGCCCTGCCTCCCGAATGATCTGTTCTGCATACAGATTGAAAAGGTATGGGGACAGGACGCATCCCTGACACACTCCATTCCTGATTTTGAACCATGCAGTGTTTCCTTACTCTGTTCTGAGGATTGCTCCTTGGTCCAAGTATGTTGTTGTTGTTGTTATGTGCTGTCGAGTCACTTGCGACTCATAGTGACTCTATGTACAACAGACCTTAAACCCTGCTCTGTCCTGTGCCAATCGCACTGCCTCCAACACACCCATCCCAATTACCCCAGTCACCAAATCAATTCATTTCATAGAGGGTCTTCCCCTCCTGCGCTGTCCCTCTACGCTCCTAAGCATGATGTCCCTCTCCAAGGACTGGTCCTTCCTTACAGCATGTCCAAAGTATGTCAGACAAAGCCCCAGAATCCTTTCCTCCAAGGAGCAGTCCGGTTTAACCCTTTCCAGGATGAATCTGTTTGTTTTCTTGGCAGTCCATGGTACATTTAATACTCTTCTCCAGCACCACAGCTTAAAGGTATCAGTTCTCCTTCTATCCTCCTTAGTCATTGTCCTCTCTGATGCATAACAAGTGATTGCAAAGACCATGGCCTGTATCAGATGCACTTTAGTCTCCAGAGTGACACCACTGCTCTTCAGTACTTTGGAGAGGTCCCTAACAGCAGACTTTCCCATGGCAATGCGCCTTTTAATTTCCTGGCTGCTGGTGCCAAGAGTGTTGACTGTGGAGCCAAGCAGACTAAAGTTGTTAACAATCTCAATGTCTTTACCATCCATCCTGATGCTGCCAACTGGTCCAGTGGTGAGAATCTTTGTCTTCTTAACGTTGATCCTCAATCCACACCGAAGGCTGCAGTCCCTCTGCAACAAGCATTTCAGATCCTCCTCAGTTGCAGTAAGCAGGGCTGTATCATCTGCATAATGCAGATTATTGATAGATCTTCCACCAATCCTGATGTCACACCTCTCCTCATAGAGCCCATGTTTCGTATAAGCACAATCATCATTTGCTCCTCAGTACTTTACAGAAGTCCCTGACAATAGACTTTCTCAATGCAGCACATCTTTTGTTTTCTTGATTACTGGCACTAATGGTGCTGACTGTGGATCCATGATGAAATCATTGAGAATGCCAATCTTTTCTCCATCTGACATACATACATATGATCACCATAAGTTTGAATCCATTTGGTAGTAACTACTGATTAACAACTGTTAAACACTTTCATATAGAAATGTAAAATATCTCAACATATTTTAGATACTGACTTAATGTTGCTCAAATGATGAATTAGGGTATTTGTTGAGGGACACCTACTGACTTAACTGAATGTAAGTCTCTTGGTTATGCAGAATGTTGAGAGAAAATTTACTGTGAAAGGAAGACTGATATGTGAAAATATAATTATTTACTATGCCACAAAAGAATGTCTCCCTTGGGCTAAGAATCACAGCAGGACAAAACCAGTTCTATATTAAATAAAGGATGTTAAACCAAAAGAAAGATATTTAAGGTAAACAATCACAATTATTCTTGGATGTGAAAGAAAGATGGCCAATCTCCTTCTGTGCAAATATAGCCTCTGAAAACCCACTGGAGGGTCAGCTATAGGTCGATTCTAATCAGCACCAAGGAGTTAATTTAGCTAGTTATTATTCTTGGACAGAGCCCATGCTTATATTTTTATATTCATACTGGGGATTGATTAACCACCCTATGATAAACATGGTAACATATTTTTCCTTGAAAAATCAATACATTCTACATTTCAAAAATAAAACACACAATATTAGGAAAAAAATAACACTGGCCAGCTGTTTTTAGAACTATGAGAACATTTCATAAAACATATGAATCGTTGAGAGCCACTAAGTGATCATGCTTACTAAGTCTATTTATCAATGTAGAAATACAAACATGAATTTATTATAAGTTTTATAAAATGAGAGTGCAGCTTCTACATGCTAAATATTTTAATTCATGGGATGAGAAAAACAGATAATATATAATTAAGTAATATTTTAAACATGATCATAATCAAACTAAAAGCTATGAATGCAAACTTAAGTCAACCAACCACAAAGCCAAGATTATAAGATTGTAATAATTTTACAACATGAAGAGATAATGAAAAAATATACACAATAAAAAAGAAAGTACTGTAGTTAAGAATGTAGTTAAAAATGAAAAAAGTAAATGTCTGATTAAAAATGAGAAAAAAAACCCCACAAAATAGAAAACCAAATCCTATATTTGTTAAATATTATATTAGTTAAAAAGGATATTTTTCCACAAAAAATTCTCACAGAGCCAAAAAAAGAAAATAAAAAAAGAAGCTTCTAGCTGAGGCAGGAGTGGCATCTACTTCCTAAAAAATATGCCTCTGGAAACTCTACGAACTTTGATAAATGATGATAGTTATAGAAAGGCTTCAGGCCTTTTGTTCATAGCGTTGCTATGAGTCATGCTCGTGCTCAATTTGATGGCAATCAACAACAGCAACAGCTGAACAATTACAGGCTTGGTTACGGAGCAAACAAAACAAGACGCTGACTGAGAAAAGCAATACTTACTGGAAAAAACCACATCACTTTGAGGATCCAAATTGTAAGAGCCAAATTCACAACTAAGATGACGAGCAAAAGAAGAACAAATAAGTAGAGACAACGTTTTCTCCAGCCGTAAATGCCGATTTTATAAACATTCTGGTCGTCTGGCCTTTCAATGTGGGTGCCCTCTGTGGCTGTTGTGTATTGCTCACGTACCATCTAGCACAGGAGAGAGAAAGAGGAAAAGAAACCCAAAATTGTCAATACTTTCTAATGAGTCTAATAAATTAACAGACTTTCACTAAAATAACAACATTCCAAATTTAATAATTTTAAAAAACTGCAGAAGATCATTTAAAAATGTCTAGAGAGTAGATAGATAGGGAACTGCCAGAAGTTCAAGTAGGATTTAGAAGAGGCCATGGCACCAGGGGAAATCATTGCTGATGTCAGACGGATCCCAGCTGAAAGTAAGACATACCAGAAGAATATCTATTCGTGCTTTATTGACTATGGAAAGGCACTAGAAAGTGTGAATCATAACAAGGTGTGGCTGACAACGAGAAGAATGGGAATCTCAGAACACTTAATTATGCTTCTAAGGAACCTATATCTGGACCAGGAGGCTGCTGTGTGAACAGAGCAGGGAAACACGGCATAGTTTATAATTGAGAAGGGAGTGTCTCAGTGTTCTACTCTTTTTTCATTCTTTGTATATATTAGGCAAAGTAAAAAAAATATAAGGTTCTGTAACTCTCTATTATTTCTAACCTTCCAATGGCTTTTTATATCCCTGGGAATATGCAGATTCTTCTATAACTTACAGGAAGCTATGTGATCTGGCCTCTCTGAACCTCTTTGACTTTCATCTACTATCATTTACACAAGAGGATCCATCTATTCTTAAATACTAAAATTAAAAACGAATGCAAAACCAAAACCAATAAAAAATCAAAACCAGTTGCCATCAAATTGGTTTCATTTCAGAGACCATTGTTTCTCAGAGAACTGTGCTCCACAGGGTCTGAACAGCTGATTTTTAAGAAGTAAATCACCATCACTTGCTTTTTTTTTTTCTGTTAAGACACCTCCGGGTGGATTCAAACCACTAACCTTTCATTAGCAGTTGAACACCCAACTGAGGGCCACTTGGAGGCTCTATTTTCTTATAGATCAAGGTTTAAGCTCATCTGAGAACCTTAGTATTGGTCATTCTCTCCACCTGAAATGCTTGCTGGTTCCTTCTTAACTTCTTGGTAGCAACTCATGAGTCACTGCCCCAAAGACTAACACAACCTGCTGCATTATCCTATCAGGTTCAACTCAGAACACATATCATTATCTCAAGTAACAGTGGCAGCTCCAGTATTCGATTGGGAAAGGTGGTTAGAGATGTAAGCATGTTGTTTGCACTCTTGATTGATGGTTGAAGATCAATACAAACAGGAAAAGTTTCTTAAGGCTTTATTTAGTTTCATTATAGCAAATTACCACAAACGTAATGGCTTTGCTTAACACATGTTGATTGTCTGATGATTGTGGATATCAGAAATCTAGATGGAGGCTCATGAGACAAAATATGTGGGTGTGGGTAGAGTTGCATTGTTTCTGGAGGCTCCAGGGAAAAAATGTTTCCTTGAATTTCTAGCTTCTGCAGGCTGCCCCCATTTCTTGGCTCCTGTCCCTCCATCACTCCACTCTTACTTTCATCACTAGATCTCCTTCTTTAAGCATGATGATTCTTTAGTGTTCCTCCTTTAGATTTCTTGCAATTACACTAGGCCCATAGAGAAAATCCAGGTTAATCTCTATACTCAACATCCTTAATTTCATCTGCAAAGGCTCTACTGCCATGGAAAGTGTAGTAGGCACAGGTTCTGGATATTGGGACATGGGGATTTTTGTAACAGGCATTATTCTACTTGCCACAGGAGGGAAAGAATTATATAAGAAGTTTCTTTGCCAACTGAAAAGTAGATGGTTCAAATCCACCACTTACTTCTTAGGAGAAAGATGAGTAAACTCTAGCAATTACAGCCTCTGAAAACTCGCTGAAGGGTCAATCATGAGTTGGTTTCAACTCAATGGCAATGAGTTGAATTGTTTGGCTTTTTGGTTTTTAGAATTATAAACTCCAAGTGAATGTTGTTTGTCTTGTTCTCTGTGGTGTCTCCATAAAGAATATCATTGTCATTGTTTACCCTTGCATCAAAACTGGCTCTTAGCTGACCCTCCAGGGGGTTTTCCAAGTCTATGAATTGCTCAGGAGCAGAATGTCTATCTTTCTCCCTCAAAGCAACTAGTGGGTTCAAATTGTCTGTCTTTGGGTTGTCATTGTTAACTCCTTACCCACTAAGTCACAGAGGTCCCTGGACAAACAGTAGTGTTATAATAAATGTCTTGAATGAATGAAGAAAACGAATTAATGTATGATTGAGTGAAATAATTATCCAACTTGGCAATCTCTAATTGAGCTGTTGTTGTATATTGTCAAGTAAGAAGTGGCCCACAGCTGACTACCCAGTGAGCTTTTCAGAGGCAGAAAATCATATGGGAGATTGCGTGATTTTCTCCCAGGGAGCAACTGGTGCATTTGAACTACACACGTTTGTGTTGGCAGCACAATTACTTCCCCTTCAGTTGCCCTAATTACTTGATTGACTTGGTGGCAATAAACAACAACTTTATATATAGAAATACACAGGGAGCTCTGCGTTGGAAGTGAGCTGCTAACTCAAATGTGGCTCCTCTCTGGAGGTTTGAATCTGCCAGGGTCTCTAAGACAGGGGCGGGCAATCTCCTCCTGTGTGATTTACAGCCTCTAAAAACCCACTGGAGGGTCAGCTATGAGTCACTTCTGACTTGATGGCAATGAGCTTGAGTTTGATGTATACACATACACTTTTGAATGAATGGTTCCTAGAGCCCTAGTGGTGTAGTGAGTTAAGTGTTCAACTATTCACTGAGGAGCTAGTAGTTGAAATCCACCAGGTACTCCTTGGGAGAAATATGGGCTGTCAACTTTCATAAAGATTTATAGTTTGGAAAAAAAATCTATCTATCTATCTATCTATCTATCTATCTATCTATCTATCTATCATCTATCTAGGAAATTGTATGTAGAGTTGCCATGAGCCAAAATGAACGTGACAGCAATGTGTATAGATTTTAGTATGTTATTTAAAATAAAACTAAGGTAAAACTCTGGTAGTCTAGTGGCAAGAAGCTGTGCTGCAATCCCGAAGGCACATGGTTCGAGGTCACCAGCCTCTCTGTGGGAGAAAGATGGGCAATCTCCACCTGTGTGATTAACTGCCTCTGAAAACCTGCCTGAGGGTCAGTTATGGGTCAGTTCCGACTCTGTTGTTGTTGTTATGTGACGTCGAGTCACTTGCGACTCATAGTGACCCTATGTACAACAGCCCTAAACTCAGCTCTATCCTGTGCCAATCGCACTGTCTCTGATATTCCCATCCCGATTACCGCAGTCACTGAATCAATCCACCTCATAGAGGGCCTTCCCCTCCTGCACCGTCCCTCCCCCCTCCCAAGCATGATGTCCTTCTCCAAGGACTGGTCTTTCCTTACAACATGTCCAAAGTATGTTAGATGGAGCTTCAGAATCCTTGCCACCCAGTTTAACCCTCTCCAGGATGAATCTGTTTGTTTTCTTGGAAGTACATCGTACTCTTAATACTCTTCTCCGGCACGACAGCTCAAAGGCATCAATTCTCCCTCTATCCTTGTTAGTCATTGTCCAACTCTTTGATGCATAACAAGTGATTGCAAAGACCATGGCCTGTATCAGATGAACCTTAGTCTCCAGAGAGACACCATTGCTATTCAGTACTTTGGAGAGGTCCCTAACAGCAAACTTTCCCATGGCAATGCACCTTTTAATTTCCTGGCTACTGGTGCCAAGAGTGTTGACTGTGGAGCCAAGCAAACTAAAGCTGTGAACAATCTCAATCTCTTCACCATCCATGC